GAAGGGTTACACACACGCTATTTCATCTGCAAATAGTCATGTTCTATCAATTTTAGTGGAAATATTTGTTTGACGGAGTTTTTTTTTTATTTCAATATGATTTGCTTTGGCCAGCACTAGAACGCTGCGCGTGAATACCCAGAGACATGTGATCAATAATAGATATTTCCGATAACTATCATTTATTTGCTATCCTTTTTCTCAAATGGCCTAGCGATACTTTCGACAAAGCTCCAGACGCTTTAGTTCATGGTTATTTTACTTTGTTTTTTTTTACACGAGACTTATTTATAAACTTGTATAGGTCAGGCTTGCTAAATATTGATCGTTGAACCTTAACGTCTTCCAGTAAATCCAAAATATCGATGGTGCAAACTAGGATTGTATCCATAACTTAAAGGGGCTCAAAAGATCCAAGTTACTCTATTATTGTTTGGCTTGATTTTATTCAATATTGTATTTCATCCTGTATTTACGCCGTGTAATACTGCATTCATTTTTAGTATTAATTTGTTTTCAAAAAATGGTATAACACTCTACCGCGTTGTAAAACATTAGATTTTACGAACTTCAAATTTGCAGTATCTTTGTTAGTCAATACGTTTGCATGTACGATTTTTACGTGTATATATACATATATACGTGTGTGTGTGCTTGTTCGTATGGATGTGCTTTGCAGCTGTGCAGCTGTTACTAAACCTGACATGTCATGGTACATTATCAAACTCTTCAATAGCTACACCTGGCGCGTCCTAACGAGATATTAATTGTAGAAATAATATTGCATAGCGAGTCAGATTACATTTTCCCTGGTAGGTGCCATATTCTGAAAGGAATATTACTGTTTTAAAATCATGCCTACTTGTAAATTTGCCTCTAGCAAAACTAGGCAAATTTAATACATCTTTGTTGGTATTTATATGGAATAAGAGGGGACACAACACCAGTAGCAATAAAACCCTATGCATCGCCAGTTTAATTTATTTGCTAAATAAATAGATCAATTTCAGTATTCTTCCACGTTTTGAAAACCTTTCATCTTTTTCTACGCTATAGCTTACTTGGAAATAGTTTGTGTATGTTTGAGATTATGTCGTGCCGATTCAGTAGTAAAACTCAATTTTTAGTAAGTCTTCTTATGACGAGCCAATTATGAGCCAATGAACGCACCATTTCTCGCTGAATACTGCGTTTGCTACTGACAATTTCATGGCCCTAATGAGGCCTTATTGTGATGCATCCCCGCATATATGTGGCCAAACACGGCGCTGCTGATTTCAGGGCGATCATCATATCACGCAAACATGTCGTCCATGTAGCTTAGAAAAAAACACTTTGTACTGAAATCTAAAGATTGTTTGCTAAAGCGTTAGAAAAAAAGACTAGGCGGAAAATGATGTAGGATAAATAGCAACTTGGTTGGTTTGGCATATATTTTACATAACGATATTATATACAACGAGGACAATACAAACCCTGCAATGGCTTGGTGGGTAACGTTTAGTGGTCTAGGTTAGAACATATAGGGCACAGACAGACACACAGACTTCGTTTCGTACTGGGAGCCAGCCAACCGTCTATCTGATAGAAAACTCAAAACCAAGAAGACAGTTAAAAAAAAAAAACTGAAAAGATCAATTGGCCACCCACGACACTAATACATATATATATATATATATATATACAAGTATAACCTTGTAAACGAAGCGAGAAAAAAACATTTGGTCACAATAATTTAGTAATGATACGCCTGAACTAAAAATATATATAGCTCTCTTTAATGTCTTTTATCATCCTTAACGTCAAGCGTAAATTGTTGACTACTTTCAGTTGAAGTACCGAAGATACGAACACCTAACAATAAGAGGATGGAAGCTTTAGAGTATAGAAACAAAGACAAATAATCCTATTTCAGACAGAACTGATTCACTGTTTTGTGGTGCCTGGATGTCTGTGTGTGGGTGTATGTATGCGATGGACTGGTCTGGACCGTGAAGATCCATGAAGAAGAAAAAACTTAAGAAAAATAAGAGAATTTATTTTAAGAAAAATAGGAGACAATTTTTTAGCCAGCCTGGTTTAAATCAAATTTCTCGAAGGTCTTTGCGCCCCCATGTGTGTCCTTAAAGTGCGTAATTATCCTATATATTATATTTGCTAATATTTCGGATTACATATGGATTAACGTGAAATCACTGTCGGAACACTTGAATACGGAAATGTCGAATTTGTGACATTTCCAGCTTACAAAGAAAGCTCGAAATCTAGAGAAGATGTTATATGTGACTTTATATGGGGTACTCGTGGATTTTTACTATCAATGGTGCTTGGCACTTGGTATCCTTGGAACTGCCATAACTTTTTGTCTTGATTTCGGGACGTTGGCCTGCATCGGCAATACGGAGCGCTACTTTTAAGGAAAAAGAAAAAATGCTTTCTAGAAATGAAGCATGAAAGGTAGCGATCAGAATACGAGACGCGGGGAAAAAGAATAGAGAAAAATATCCCTTCCCATCGAAAAAATCGTACGTAACGGATTCAGGCCTTAAAAGGAGCAACATGGAAGGCAGCAGCTTAGCGTGGCTATAATCGAGCTGCGTTATCAGAGTACGATCTTATCTGTGTGCGGACAGAGTTCTTAATTTGCATCTTATCAAATACTAGAAATCCTGCTCGTACATGAATGTATTAGCGCATACCTGTAAAGAAATAAATCTCAACGGCTTCGTACTTACCGAACTGACCCACGCATAGACAAAGCCTACTCTGGCCGTACAAAACATCTTTCGTCATTGTCATATCAACGATCATACACAAACATCTCTTAAAAACTCCTCCTTAAAAGTCTTCGTAGTAATATCCGAAATGCTGCGGACCCATAAAGCTATGATGTGTCGGTCGAACGAATCAAAGAAGATTTTTGCTAAGGAATTGTCCGTTTGAATAGACAATAAAAAGTAATGTTATAGATGATAAGACACCGCGATTTTGGTTTTCCCCTCGTAATATGCATGTAAAAAAAAACCTAAGTTACTATGAATGTAAAACGATAATTGGCAAATTTTCAAGTTCACACGTAAGCCCTCTCTTATATGTGGTTAAAGGCTAGTAATGACGTTCATAATAATACAAATTAACAATATTTTAGAGTAAAACTAATATTTAGAGTGGACGGTAGAAAATCGTGAATAGAGCGCAAAAAACAAATGCCTTTAGCAAATACAGTAACTATTAATTTCATACAATGAATTAAATCAGATATAACATATTTTTAGAGCCCTAAAAACGATGGCCAACACAATAAAGAAATCAACAATGATTAGAAAAGTTATTAATATATTTGACTCAACTTGATAAACGGAATTTCGGTAGGTCTAGAACTAGTCCATTCCTAGCTAGCTCGTGATGACTCTTGGAATCCTTTATATATCGAAAAATCTGAATAAAAGTCACATCAATTTTTGTGTTACAATGGTTGCTTCCTCTCTGTGTTATCCTTGTTTTCTCTCTCTCTCTCTCTATATATATATATATATATATATATATACATGGTTAATATTAAGAAATATATATTGGAATGACTTTTTTTTCAATCACAGGATAATATAATAAGGAAAAAATATGATAAACATTTTTACAGTGCTCAAAAACACTCCAGGCTCGAGCAATGACACACACCAATTGATTCATTACATTGTGATGAATCCGGTTGAGTTACGAATTCGAATAGCTCGGCTCGTTGCGATTGTTCGAGATATGAATTGTAAGTTCGATAATATATAAATATACATAAAACGCCTCCTCTAGAGAATTTTCGTTATCTATTATTAAGACTTTGTTTGAAAGAGTTTTAACAACACCAAACAGCAGAACAGAATTTAAATGCTCACTCTTAATCGAAACACCATTCCGCACAAAATCTCATATTGTTGAAAATATCCGCCACAAAATAGAAAAAGCTTTAGTTTAACACAAATACAAATAATACGGTGGCGCCTCTCGGTTGAATTCGTATGCTAAAAAAGTTGCGCCCTATACATAGCTTATTTATCGCTTAGAGACATATTGAGGAGACATTCTCAAACACTATTTACACTAGCAGGCGAACGAAATGATAACACTCGCATATCAATTTAATTAATTTATCAAAATAATTTAACTTCCTAAATAGAACCAGTGGCTTCCGTTAGCATTTAAACCTGTCGTTGGGCGCGCATTTTTGTACCATATCTATAATGTTATCGAGATATATCTATTATCATACGCTATAAGTACTTCATCATACGAAACCGTCTCCGATGAATAGAATCGTTTATAGTAAATCTCCTATTTATCACTATCAATATACACCGCGAAAGATCTGTTTCATGCTTCGAAGATATTGAAGAATTCACTAATGGTGCCCCTGCCACTCTCGGCTGACCATCGCAGCGTCGCCAGTCCATCACTCAAATATCCTTGATTCAATTCTGATACATCTGATTGTTCTGTTTCTCTCTTTCAGTTGCCACAGTGTCGGTATGTGACGGTGAAAAGTAAAACTTGAGTATTATATATACCAGCAAGTCAGACGTATGTCTATTCGAAGGCTTTTAGAAATGATCGAATAATGACTACTACTACTTTTTTTTAAAAATCTCATGTTGACCTCCTGCGGTGCTGGTCTTGCCTTATTCGTCCGGCTCCTTGAATCCTTGTTTTACCGTTGGTGAAAAACGTCGTCATTACCACCACGCGCGGATGTTGTGTAGTCTAGCTGGCGTTATTCATTCGTCATGCGTGTATGCAGCGAGTATGTATGTGTGTATGTTTGAGTATCAATGTCGAAACATCACTGTGCAAAAAACCGGTCACGAGCGTCTCGGAACGCGAGACAGTCCACGGAATCTTTCATGTCACCTGATGTCACTAGGCAAGCTAGGCCAAATTGACGGCGTTGTCGAGCGAAATCTGCCAGCTGACGCCCGTTTTCCCTTGCCGTCCCTTCTCGCAATACTGGCCACTTACAAAACAAGAGCATAGAAAAGCGACAAGAGCCTGCAAGACCGCGACGGTCTGTCCTGCGAGTGATAGAACGGAGTTTAAATAAAAGTAATCTTTTTTTTTTATCCTCGAAGTAAATGCTGACGAAGATGAAAAGGTTCAAATCGGTTGACGACTTGGTTTATCAACGGGCTCGAATAATTTAAGAATTTGTATGGGATGCTATGCAGTTGGCTGTTCCATCTCACTACTCAAAAAATAGTACTAAACAGATAGACGACAAATACTTCTGCAAGGCTGTAGGTGAGGGGTGGCAGCAGCGTCACCAATAACGAAACGTGCGCGTACTACGAAATCCTTCCATTTGCAGTACTTAGAACGTCACAAGCGCATGGAAACATACATCTAGATAAACGCAATGCGGCCACAAACTCATGTAGAAGCATCAGCGGATATAGACGCACATGTAAATGATTAACAAGAAGACTAGGGGCGGCCCAGGTCAGAGCCTCTTCTGTAGTTTTGGATTGTCGTTGCTGCTCTTGAGGAGGCACAAAGTAACAGGCGCCGAGGTTGACCGATCCCGGACGGTCCCATCGCAACAAACGACTAAAACATTTACGGCTTCCTAGATGGACTTTGCTCATAATGATGATGATGATGTTACCTTGCGATTCATCCGGAATCAACAAACTGACGATCCGGAGCATCACAACAACTGAAGCTCACGAGTTATCTAGGCTTCAATAGAACAAATACGCCTAAACCTAGATTAGCTTTCGATCAACAGTAAGTAAAGTAAAACTATTATATAAACGTAAGATATTACTGAGTTACCTCGTGGTATTTTAAAAATATTATTTGAGATATCCTTAAGCAAATGCGAAACCTAATTTGTTAACTTGTGAAGCTTGTTCAACCAGTTTTATCATGCATTCAAAACAAGCCAGACATCCTGTAAACTGACAACGTTTCTTCCGCAGCCTCCTCCCTCCCTCTGGAATACATCCTCGTATTCTCAAGTGTGGTTCTCCTCACCCGATTGTGAAAAGATCCCTCGCAAAAATAAGAGAGCTAGTGACGTCGACACACACGATACCAACAGTGCAACCCGCAGATACTCTCCAGGCATCATTCGTCGTGAAGTGGCTCACTGTTTAGCGTCTGTGTGCCTTTGTGACAAGTGAGAAATAAACAGTGGGCGGCACGAAACTTTTTGTTGCTTCGTACAGCAGGGATGTTATCCCAAAATCTATACCCGTTCGCCGTTCTGCTAGGAGCTTCGGCAGCCTTCAGTGGCGTTCTCGGGCAAGACGTCACCTCCTTTGAAGGGACAGCTACAACATCTGCTCCGACGACGACGACGACGAAATTACTGCCAGCTGAAGTAAGCACTATACCGATACCGGCTGAAGTGTTGACGGTAGCGGATAACTCCACAGATGCAGATTCTCATGTTAACGCCGTGCAAGACCTGCTTTCTCAGCCAGTGACAGTGTCTGAAGATGATGACAAGGTTGATTTGTCGCCCTCAGCTATAGGGAGTCGCTCGGTATTGCCCCGTCAAAATTCGGCAGGATGCCGGGCGCCAATTGGTGAAATAGGTATTTGCGACACCGTACGTCAATGTCCGGGTATCTATCGAATCCGGGATTCGTCTTATCTGCGTAGTTTCCTTTGCGGATATCAGGGCCGGACGCCCCTCGTGTGCTGCCCCGTACGATGGACAGTGAACTACTATTATGGCTACCAAACGACGACAACAACAACAACAACAACCCGAGCACCATTCTACGGGTATGGCTATGACTGGTATGGGAATAACCACCAGCAACACCCTCAATACCAAAGTTATTATGGACGACAACAACAACAACAACAATACCCCGAGTATGGCCATAACACACCTTATTCCCAGTCCTTGTATCCCCAATACCCACACTACCCGAGACCGGTACCCCAGAAAATTTTTCATTTTAGCACGACGTACCGACCCGCGTATGTACCGATTTCGGCCACCGTCACTGCCAAACCAACAACGGCACCAATACGTTCGAGTACGATTTCGTCTCAGGAAGAACGGCCACGCAAGCCGAGCTTCCTTCCCGCCCGGTGTGGTGTCGGCCACGGCATATCTCGCATCGTCGGCGGATCCGAAGCCATTCCTGGAAGTTTCCCATGGATGGCTGCTATTTACATACAGTCTGGAAGCAGCTGGCTACAGGCCTGCGGAGGTGCACTCGTCTCGAACAAGCACGTCATAACAGCTGCCCACTGCGTCGTGTCTGGTAGCCGATCACAAAATCTACCTACGAGGCTATTTCTTATTCGGCTGGGTGATCACAATCTTGTAACCACTGACGATGTTCCAGCAGGTGTTACACAGGACTTGAAGGTGGACAAAATCAGCCGGCATTCCGACTTCGATTCAAAGACATACAAGAACGACATTGCAATTATGGAGCTCGAGACTCCAGTCGAATTCAACGACTATATAAAACCCGTTTGCTTGCCCTATGACGATGTCTATGGCAATTTGGATGAAGAGATCGCTATCGTCACTGGTTGGGGCTACACCAAATACGATGGCCAGGGTAGCAACGTGCTCAAACAGGCTACCATTCGAATATGGCCACAGGAAGAATGTAAGGAGGCATTCAAACGGGAGGTAAGTTACATGGCCACACTTCCTTTTAGAAGTCGGGATGCCTTTATTTTCATATATTTAACTTCAGTTAAGTCGTCATTGAGAGGTATTTGTGATACTGATAATAACACGGTAGACATTTTTGCTAAGTGAACTTAGTTGTTTGAGTGTATTAGTTTACGTCTTCTGGCGAAATTCGGGCCCAACTATTCAAGTTCGTCCTTCGCAGCGATGAGCACGTCCATCTTTTAATACGACAGGCTGGACTGGTTCCTCCGTGTATTTCTGGACCCTATACTAAATCGCCATCTAGAGAGTCGCAATGTTCGCAGGTACTTAGAGGACGAACTAAGGGTCGGCTTTCTCTATTTTTGTAGCTTACTTGAGATGAGCATGGCACCGCTACCGCTTACGATAGGCTCAAATTACGTACCACTGTTACCGGCCAGTACTCGTGCTGCAATTGGCGCGATTTCTATAGTCCGCTCAGTGACTGCTCCCAATTTAAATCAAACCTTCACTTATTACTTTATGTTATGTACAACTTTGAAATGAAAACTTCAAACACTCTAGGTACACGAAATCTGTAACCGCAAAGTCCCATTTGTTTACTACAACGATGGAAATATTCGTCAGTATGTACATCTTGTTATGAATGCAACGCCAATTGATAAAACTTAATTTCCTATTCTCGTGCATAGTCATAGACAACATGAAGCGTAGTAGCGAAAGATAATGTTTTTTTTTGTTTGCTTTTTTTATACAAAGACAAATAGATTTTATGCTCCATTTAGAACGAAAGTTTCGATTGACGTCGGACATTTTGAGCAGGCTGCACTCTTTCAAAGCTTGCTTTATGGCAACTATCGTTGTTTCCGCATTGACATTATAGATATAACTTCAGAAAATGCTGTTTCCGAGTCCAACTTTAAACAAAAAGTCAGCTTGCAAACGTTTTGTGGGTAACTATTTAAGTACTAGAAATTAAACGTGGAAAGCATGTGTAGCATCAGCCGAGCTCGTTCTGAAGAAACTTCAGCCTTGTATTAGAAATACAATTTCAAAGATTAATGATTTTTAGCAATACTACTATTAACAATAGTGAACACATAGATTAGATTGATTTTCAGCAAGAAAAGGTTCTCATTCGGAAGCATAACAGTGATAGCTGTTATGCTCCATTTTCGAAGGCTAATGGAGCATTTTAGACTCTAGTTTTCATTTGTGCTACAGAAACGGCTATCTGGTAGAGAGTAACTGCCAACAGAAGAGGGACAACTCAACGTATATGCGTAAATCTTTCCCTATTACAAACGTTATGCCTTTAGGATTTTACTCAAATCCAACATCAATAAGGTAGGCTGCGTTGGCTTTCTTCATAACAGTTATTCGTTTTAACTAATTTTTTACTTTTTTTTTTTTACATAAATCCGGCGGTATCTGTGTTTGTCGTCCGTTTGTGGGTTGTCATATACCAAGAACAAGAGTTACCATGTAACCTATAACGTTATCACGTCATCAGTGTCGTGTCATTTCAGTAAACGGTTGATCTCCCAGGACGCAGGGCGATGTCCAATACCCCCCTCCAGATCATATTACATAACTTCGCTCGACTTCCTTTTTGAAATAACTTAAAAGGCAAGGTGCACTACGACAATCCACGAGCAACGAACAAATTGAAAGAGAATACCCGTACTGCTATCTGCGCAACATTACCGATGCGTATACGAAAAAATAACCGAAAACTGAGTAACGCTTCTCATGAAGAAAGCTAATAGAGCCCACTTTGTTAATATTGTATATGAGCAAAATCTCGAACGTATATAGTTTGTATAAAGAAAAATTCGTCTACAAGCTTCCGATTATGTCTCGCTGGCTTGATTCTGAAACTGCTCCCGTCCAACGGGCCGTCCGGGTACATCTGATTGGTGATAGACTCGAGCTATGGGACGACGTGCATAGATCTTTTGTCATACCAGTTCATGGTTTAACGTATTCTGTTTCTCATCTTATATCCGCGTGTTTTCAGGTGTCAATCACTGAAGAGTACCTCTGTGCTGGTGACGGCAGAAAAGATTCCTGCCAAGGAGATTCTGGTGGTCCCCTCGTCTATAATGAAGGTACAAAGTTCTACCTCATCGGTGTAGTGTCCTTTGGAAAGAAATGCGCCACGCCTGGCTACCCCGGCGCATATACACGAGTTACAAAATATCTTGACTGGCTCAACAATCATTTTTAGAATAAAACTGAAAAAAAATGATGGTGTTCGCATCCACTAACAAATCATTGGTTCGTTATATCGACGACCCCTGTCTCCTGTATCTAGCAGAGTGAGTAGGTTGCGCGGAAAAGTTAGCTCGCTCGTAGCAGTTGTCAGCCTCTCGTTGTAGTTCAAGTATGTAAACTGGGCCTCTTAACACCTCTGAGGCCCAGCTGAAAAGCATCTGTCTCGGAATGGCTTCCGGACAATTGTAAAGGTTTACTATTAATATATGAATAAATATATTACATACATACTATCTACAACGTAACTGGTGGCTTGTTTAAATAAAATTAAAACGTGGTCAAAGGCTTGCTTTAACACAAGTAAAAGATGGAGACGTGACGATAATTGCATTCGTACAGATATCAATGGCCTCTGATTTTTGTCAGTCACCATGGCGTAATATCGAAAGCTTATGTATATCACTACACAACGTAATTTAAATCCCCCCTGAGGCGAATTTCAGTCACGAAGAACCTTTTAGTAGGTAGTGAGGTTTTCATGAAGAACGCGGTGGTACAATATCGTATTGTGAATTTTTTTGACAATTCGTATTAGAATAGCAGCTAATATCCTGCATAGGTAAAGGATATATTGATTATACTTGAAGCCAAATAATTAGTCATGAGATAATTATTTCGATAATCTGCCACCAATACTTAAGCCATACTACAGATTGGAACCGATTAATTTTCGAACGTGCACCTTTATAGTCAGTGAGCGGCAGGATAGGATGATATGATAGTATTAGGTGAATGCATAAAAACTTGCTATGTTATGATTTTCTTTTCTTCAAAGTAGCGTGAGGCATTGTCTCCACTTATCTCCGCATCCTGCCTCAGTATCGTTTGGTGGTAATATTTAATCATTATTGGTAAGCGAAGCATCTTCCTGGACGGTCACAAGCGAAATACTGCTACCGGTCAACTCGACACCAGACTCATTTCATAGTAAGCAATGCTGGCACACGTTGAAGTGGAATGATAGAAGTCGCCTGTTGGCTGTGCTGGTCTCTATCGTTTCTCCTAATGTTTCAAGATCGAGTTTTCTATGAAGTACCAACGATCCAACAATAGAGAAGTGCAATAAGTTAACGGTTATGTTGCCTTTTGGTGACCCGCTGCGCGCCGGTCTTCCAAGATAGACATTATTTATATCTGACATGTTCCATAATCCTAGCAGAGCTTTTCATTTTTATCCTGCAAGATAAACCAATTTCGAGTAGGGCATTTCTATCCTTCAAGTAATTTTTCTACCAATCTATTGCGATTAGGTTATCTCGGCGAAGTTGTTATGTATTGACCGACTTTAACTTCCTTAAGCTACTAAGATAACTTAGTCGAACTGGACTCCGATTGGCGTTGTCGCTGCAAATTAAAAATCGTATCCCGGAAATAACTACGAGCCTCTTACAGTTACGATTTCTGGAAGTTGATTAGTTTCTGTAGCTGATTTTCTAACTTGAAGTTGCTCTTATCTATAGTTAGTTCTCTTTCAATAGCCTTCAATACTCTTCAACCTTTCAATAACCAACAAAACACCTAATAGGCCTTGCCCATCACGATTATCGTATCTCTCACAAAAACAGACCAGCACAAACGACAATCTACACTGCTTTGACTATCCTCCTAAATCTAGACTGAGCCTTGCTTGCTCCGTCTTGTTGTTAGAAGCCTGTAGCGATATTGTGTGTAGCATTTCGAAAACTCTCAACTTATTCATTGAATACGTTGACCAGAAGCAATAGACGGGGCCTTCTAAAGGATCTTTTGAGAAGATTATTATAGAATTTCGTAAATTTTCGTAATTTGGCTATGAGTTACGCAACTCGCACATTATTTAAAGTCTAGTCCTAATTTTCTTCGCGTCACCACCTCACATAATAGTCCATTTCTGACAATACGTTATCACGAATAAGCATGCAAATAACGGAAGTTAGATCATTTATTAAGCTTATATCGCACTTCGTGGCTTAAGCTCGAAACGATCCTAGCTGTTGTGAACTTAGGTCCAGTACTACCATAAACGATTGTTTTTGAGAGCAGGCTTCCAGCAAGGAACAAAATGTATGTTTGCCCAATCGCGATCCCAGACCACCTCGAGCATTTACGTTTATTGTGCAAACACGTTACCACCTGCCCTATCATGAGGACCTCTAAACGATCTGAACTGTTCCTAACAGTTCTAAGCACTATAGACAGACTGGCAAGGTTCGACCCATATGACCTGTCAATAAACACATATAGAAACCAGCATTGACAGGAGCTTCCTTGATATGAACAAAGACAACCATTAAGGGAACGCTAGCATAGAACCCTCCTACGGGACGTTTCGAATACATTTATGTGGGAGAACATGCACTTAGAAGACTACTTTCCTCAATGCTACAGTCTATTACAAAAAGCTACAGTTTTGTAGTTTTTAAAAAACCGCGCCAAACATGTAGATAAGTCCTACGGTTTCGAGCAGCACTGCTTCAGTTAATCATTTGAGTTTTTCTTTAATGTTAGAAAATCTTTTTTATTTTTCTTGTGTTACAATGCAAGAAATTCATTGGTTCAGCTCAATTAGAAATGTGTGTTTGAAAAACCCCTCGTTTTCTATGCTCACGTGCTCTTACCACTGCGAACAAAAGGACACAATATTAAGAACTTCGTTTCGCTGGCCTTCCATGCTGAGTTGACATTTTCTAGTTTTTATTTGCAACAAACATATATAAAAATATGCGTACATAAACTGTACATTTAAATGAGAACACCAATTATTTTAAATAAATATTTCGTCAATTTATTTCTGTACTATTTTCTTCCCTTAAAAATCTTCGTTGCCAACCGTTAATCTATCTCAATATCGATTGAGGACATTTGTCAAGCCGATTTTACTTCGCCTCCGCTTTTCATACAATACCTTATTTTCCTTTTCATTCAACTATTTCTGTACAATAAGACGACCCATTCTACAACATACAGCAAGCCTCAGCCAGGGCGCCCCAGACGCGACTAAGCCTTGCTTACTAAGCATTGTACGAGTTAAAATCATCAGTCATACATTGATCACGACCACATATGTCTATCTCTTCGGCCCTTTTCGCCTCTTACTTAATCACCACTATCGTTCAACTCATACATCATCAATCTATCACCATTCGCTACTAAAATAAATAATAGCTCCTCAAACACCTTCCTATAATACATACACAATTACAAACGTATGATCACCGTGTATTTATACGATATATTTACCGTGCACAGTTTTCCCCCTTTTATTTTGCTTTATCTTTCTAGGATTTCGTTAAGTAACGTCTACATGCATTTGAGATGAGCTGTATAACTGCTGCATGAATAATTATCCAGCTTACCTCGGCACCTAAAGATCAATTAGTTCGTCTGTTGAACTTTCTCTTTTTTGTTAGATTTCAACATAAGTTAAATGTAACATATTAACTCGCGACTTTGGCCATCTTTGATGTACCTATACTGTTGCCGGTTGCTCTCAGATGCGTTTGAACAGCCAAAAAGTTCAAGATCAGAGATGAATATAGTATAATAACAAACGTCTCAATATCTCTGCATATACTAATTTTTAAATCATGATATTACTACACTATATTCACTGTATATATATTCTCCACTACCACTAGTGCCATTGCATCATATTATCCGTTCGGCATACTGTATCAAAATGATCTATCTAACACACAGTTAGCGCTACGTGATAGTTGTCATAATACAAACTAAGGCATCGCTCAAGGTATTCCCCAACAGAGTGGAATGTGTCTCCGCGCAACAGATTTCTTTTAGTTAACGAAGCAGATGGCATATTCCCGATACAATGCACGTAACCAGATATAACTTGAAAGTTTAAGTAGGAGAAATAAAAACATGCATGTATGTGCTGGTTCTGTCGAGGTATGTGCAGTATATATATAGATATCGAAATAATGGGACAAATTTTTTGGTGGTGCCTTAGCTGCTATTTATAAATGGTCGCGATCTGAAGATAATACATGAGAGGTATCGTTGCCTCAGGCTTCATAACCCCCGTCCCCCACTGCTGGTTAATAATCACCATTGGAAAAATGTATAGCTGACTAAATTTTGCCCTTTGTTATCAGCAAGAACTGGCTAAATACGAGTCTTACCACCTGGAAATATATTCTGTTATTATATTGTCCTCGGGTGTTCGAATACGCAGCATGATCGAGTAGTGTAGGATTACGTGCTTCGACTAGATGTTGAATTCAATACCTTCATAAGTAGGTCTTTATACATAGGTCGCTTTGTGCAAGGAAATTCTAAGAGACTAAAACCTAGTCATCCTGTAACCCTTGTTGTAGTACTACAAATTGTAGTATTTGCTTTAGGTCACGGGAATTCACCTTTTATCTTTAGAAAAAGGACGATAAATGTTTAGCGCTGTTTTATCTAGCATCTAGTTCATTCCTTGCATGAAGTTAATAGCGTTTAAGTATGCTCACAATAGAATTTGAAAACGCCCGCCAGCTCGTTTACTTCTGGAAGATACCGCCTTCCCCTTGATTAAGCATTTTCATATGCTGACCGGTTACGGGCAGGGGGAGTTAGGTTGGGGGGTCGAGCGTTCAATATCTAATTCTGTTTTATATTTGATTGATTTCTATACATGTAATATTATACGCTGCTTCATTATCAGTATAAACAAAATATTACACATGACATAGTATATGACACAGTACAGGCAACACAAACGTTATCCACAAGTTACCGTTTTTCCGCTGACTTTTTATAATAGTAACTACGATCCGAGTGTAAACATCAAAAAATGTTGTTTTTTTATCTATGGTCAATATCCACGAGATAAAAATAAAAACAATCTTCGCCACGTCCTGTTTATTCGTCGGCGTACACCAGCAGTCGCACCCAGAAAGTCATTGCTTGTTACATTGCTTATTTTCTTCGGCTTAATAAAAGCCATTGCAAAACATCGATCCCTACTATACACATTCTGCTCGGCCTCGCCACTGATCATACCCTTAATTGAATTGCAACCTTTGATTCTCTATCGACACGCTAATGTCTACCGTAAGCTGCTCTGCTTGGCCTGTTTGGCCATCCAAAAATGATGTGAACTATTAACTACTGCTTCATAATAATAATAATAGCTATTATTATTATTATTATATTTCGCATTCTCTTGATCAACATTGCAAGGACATTCGAGCTTCTTCGAAGCTTCTCCCTCGCGGAGATGCCCTAAGGTATCCGTGGTCGTCGTGCAGGCCGCATGACTTCAAGAGATTTTATGGTATATAAAAGTTACCGATACGTCTATGGCTTCTTGTTGAAGTACCACAATACATCATTGTCGCTTCTCAAGACCGCCTTAAGCGGTCAGAACAAAACAATATCGCCCAAACGGAAAAATCTGCCATGGTCTGTCACGACGTATCAAATGCTAGCGAGCCCACTGCGATGTAACGATGTAATTTTATTTATAAGTCGATCGTAGAAGTTAACACGTCAATCAACCAGGCCGTCTATATTCAAAATAGAAAGGCTCAAAGCAACGAAGTAACTCATTCGTGTGCCTTAAAAAGTTTTGTTACCGCTATGTTTGCACCGCCATTAAGTCCGAAACGGCTGAGCCTAATCTCAGTGAGATTATAGCCACAAAATGGAATGGTCGACATTTGGTCCCTTGAATAGATAACAAAATATCATGAGCGGAACTTATTTTACACAAAAATGCTTACCGTAGAAGGGTCTATTGTTTTCTAGATCGTCCACCCTTTCGTTGGGATGTTAACATAACAACGTTAAAGCTGTCAATTGGTTAAAAGATCCATCAACTCAATTTTTAATTTGCCCCTCGGCTATGCTAATGAAGTATTCGGTCGATATTCGCAATCTCCGAAACACAATCAATTAAAGGTTTTAAAAATTTTAATATTATCCCTTCAATAATAAAATTACGATACTTTTGGTGGTGGTCATCAATGGCTTAAGGGGTATTTTGTTATCTGAAGTGTCTAGGCCTTAAAAGTGAGTTCACGTCAATGTCGCTCGCTATGATACACGTGAAAGCCTTCATCCTGTCCAATAATAATAATGATACATTGCGCTTTCTTGCGTTGATCCGTAGTGTTCTTGTCAATAGTGGCGGGAATAGTACTATTCGCTGTATGCAATTATAAATTTTGGCAGTTGCGTGTGAAAAATACCGGACACATAGTAGTAACGGGTAGATAACCGCTCTATGCGTGCTTCACAGGCCAGGGCCCAGGAGAAGATAACGGCCCAATTTGCGGCAGGAATGACTCTGTGTTTCTGACGTAAGGTTTTGATGGTGTTCTGTGATCGTAATAGTTCTCTTTCGGGACGGGACGTTGTGGGTTCGCAGTAAACTAGCTGATGAGCGGCTGCAAGGTGCCCTCCTCGGTCTCGGGCCCGCCTGCCGGTTCCTCGTATGGCCTTGGCCGTCTGTGTGACGGGCGGTGTTGTTGACCTGGGCGTCCTCCGCTGCACGCCAGATAGACTAGAGCGCACGCCAACATAATGCACAGCATCGAAGAAATCGTAAGGCCCGTCAGCAATGCGTTTAGCCAATACCTGACATTATAAAGACAAAGAGACAAGTACGAACATAGTCCATAAGCCGATTGCAAAAGCTACGCAGTACAGATAAAATAGCGTTGACAATAACTATATGTTTGTCGGCAAAATAAGCTTGACCGAGCTAAAGGTACATCGCCTAAAACTGCTCCGTCATAAACGTAAGCCATTACTAACTGCTTGTAGCATGTTTGAATGCAGAACACCAAGGAATAGCAATCTTTTACCATAAACAAATGCTCGCGTATCACGTACAATTTTCGCACGAGTCTTTTCGTCGAGATATATTTATCAGAATGAGAAACTCACCAATGAGCTGCCAATTTCTCAAGGAGGTTTTTGTTGTAGCAGTATCCGTCCGAATGAAGAATGGCGTCGGGGTAACACGCACCGCATTCATAGTCGTTAGGGCCCTTACACGCTTGGCACGAATAATGGCATCGCGCGCACAACGTTTCACCTGAGTGCGTGATATGTTTATAGCTGCCAGCTGTGCAGTTCTCTACAAAATATGACAAATTTTGATAGTATATTTTAGTACGAAGCGCATCATCATTAGGCTTTGACGGGTTATCTCCTGAAGCGGGTTGTTGTAGCAACAAAGAAGCTAGCAAAAGTTGTATAAATATTTCCACCGGTCGTCAAGAGATTCATTAACGTCATCATACTAAAACAGTGCTTGTGTCAGATGCAAGGTTATATTAAGATAGATATCCAGTCCTGTCTATGCCGTCGAAGTGGTAGCTTTAGCAGCAGCAAATCGGCATGACAGAACGGTTAAAGATCGTCTCAATACCAACTCAAGTTGGAATCTGATCAGACTCAATCCCGATCAAATAGCCGATAGCCGATTTGTAGTAAGCTAATATGACTATTCGCGTATCATGTGTTCTAGACTCGACATGGCTTCCTTTTCGCTTATTTGGTCGTTTTTTCTCGCCCATTTCCTGTAGTTCTATCTTTTCCTTCTCCTCTTGTTGGCGTTCATTCAAAATAGTCTCTCTCATTGCCATTAAGGTAGTTCAGGTAATGGCGGTATCCTGCTGCTAAGCGTAAATCATCCGATACAGATACTACTCAAGTTCCAACGTGAACAACCGATAATCTACCGGCGTCAGCGCCTATATCTCTATAGAGTAGCAGAGGGGGTCGAGTGGCAAGAGAAAAGAGGGCGGTCGGGGGGAAACGCACCTGTTGATTGCCACCGACCAGCACCACCCATATTCATGCTCATCATCATTGCCTATGTCATGCCCTTGCGTATTCATTCGCCTGTGTTCCAGCCCATCGAAAGGAAAGAGTGGGGCGCTACCCATAAACAAACGCACTAGGTTGGTCCTTCGGTCATCACCTATAATTAAGCGTACAATTGTAGCAGCCGTAACAGCGGCTGCCGCTCTAGAACCTTCGTCCTTGGTTCTATTTTTTATCGTTTGACCCCACTTGAAGAACTATCTAAGCGCGCGCACTGGATGACGGACTGACAAATGCGCTATATACAGATGCAACCACAACAATGAGATGGACTCATGCTTACAACAGAGACAGGTAGAAACAAGCTGCTACTGCTGATGCGAGCTCGCATCTAACCGTTGTAGCCGTAGCAACGCCCATGTCAGTCGGCCAAGATACAGAACGATCATCTGCCATTAGTCAGTATTAGCTGTATGTGATGTTGCAGTGATTATGGAAAGGCGCTTGAAGATGAATCACGGACGAGCTGGTGATGGGAGAGGGTTTGCTTTCAAGGTCACTCGGAAGATTGTGGACTCGGCCTCGTTTACCATGACAATCGTTCTGGCGTGCGGGAAACAGCGCCGTGACCGGAGGAGCAGTCAGAGAGTAGGCTCAGTGCCTACGTCGTCTGAGAAGCTGACACCGGAAATCTTCAAATGATTCCCTCCAACTCACGCCACAGTTCAACTTCTATACAGCAAACTTTTTCTGCCCATCGCGTTTTTTTTACTAGTATACTACAGCAATTAATGAGAATTTCCCGCAATCAGAAACCCAGTCTTTGGTTTTTGCCTGCCCATAGTCACGAGAGCCTTTCCATTGCCAATTCCAGTCTAGACCTTGTACAGACCATCACAAAAAAGACGCCGCAAATTTCAAACTGCACAGACGCCTCCGTCCGAAATTTATTGCTTTCCTTTTGTCTCTATCTCTCTTTTCGATTCAGTGTATATTTATTATAGTAATTGCATTGGTACTTATAAAATGTGTTAAACTATACGGATAGGCATAATAAGGATGTGTAAATAAGAACGTTCTCCAATAATATGTGCATCTCATACCATTGAATCACATTTCTTACTCAGGTTTTTTGTCTGTTTGCTTATTCAAGGTAAAACATGATTTGTTTGGTAGGTTTTGTGAATCATATTGATTGCCGCATAAACACAGGTATAACTGAAAATTGCCGTCTATAATAATAATAATACATTACTTCTACTTTGTTGTCAAATACTTCTATAATTATTTTTTAAAAATAAATCGTTTATATTACATGAGTGACTTCCTCATTGTCTCTTTGCTTCTTTCATAGAAAAGTTACCTGTGTTTATATTCTATATGAAGTTTCTTTCATAGAATCAAAGTTAGGCTTTAATAATGCTTTAGATATCCATCTAATGCGAGACTGGGCTGTTTGGTCCACAGGTTGATTCGTTCCTAGCTAACTTACTCTCGCATAGATGCAGATAAATAGTGTCTGAGAAAATCTGTTTCGTCATAATGCTAAATAATGACCGTATCGCTTTAGCTGGCATGATCTAGAATCGGGTGTTTATTTAAGAACAAAGTGAATTCGATGGACAGTCTCGCTGACATCTAAACGGGGGAAAATCCTATGTAGAACTTATTTTTGAGAACTGCAACACAACTGTTAATCTAACATAGCTGAGTCAACTGAATACTAAAAACAGTATGAATCCCCCAATACTCAAGCGTCATTTTAAAAAGGATATAGTCATTCTCTGAGTTAATAGTTGGATGATTTCTGCTTTAATTCGCTGCGGAGCGATTAAATCTGGTACAAAATAATGTATTGAGTATTTTGACACAATCGCAACTAACATAAATTCCTATGCATTGTATAGTTATGTTTAGAATCATATTGAAGTTCCTCGGCGTTCTCGAAAAGACCTTGGACGATAGGACTTTTTTTTAAAAGCGTTCCATACAGGTTCATATCGTAGCAGGATCGCATATCATATCATAACCGTGCTATTGGCGTTTAAGCTCTAGACGCCGCTCCGTATACGAGTCCTCAGCAGTGGGCATTACGTCCAAGTGAAGCTCGATAAGCATCACTTTGATGGCGTTGAAAACTGATGATATAAATTTGACTCTGTTATCAGAGTCCGGTCACCCGACGAATAAATGAGATGAACGCTGATGATTGCCGATTGAAGTTAGATCGAGGCGCCGTCGCAGGCGGTTTATCGCTATTACGCTGACCGCCAGAAGCTGCTGGTACGAACGGCCGTGCCGTCGAGGCGAGACCTGTAAGTCGAAGCTCTTCAAGTGGCCTCGGAATTACATGCGTTCCTTCTGCCCTTCGTCTGTTCCAGCTACAATTAGGAGATCCAATCTTTGGGTAGCTAATCATCACGATAGTTTCATCCGTATATCCAAGGTTTCTCTCTACATCTATGTACATTTAAAGTCCAGCATTTCAAGAACCTATATGTGCTATTGCCGAATAAAAATCTATCGCCTCTCTGTTTTTCTACGTATTTTCTATTACTCATAATACTGCCTAGTGTCGATAGTCGACAGGGTAATCAATCAATGCACCTCCACTGTCACTGCCGCCCGAATCAGCGCGTCGATAGTACGAATATGGGTCGTAATTGTAGTATTCAGGGAACTGAAGCTCGAAGCCGGTTGCAGCAGTAAGAGCAGCATTACCGTTTTGGCCCTGAAATTGTACGCTCTGTGATTTAACCTCCGGCATACCCGCTTGAGGCTGCCCTTGGTTATAGTCGAACGTGGATGACTCTGTATGGGAAGCGTGAATTCGATCAGCCGCCTCACTGCTGTAATGGGGATACCGTTCATAAGGACGATCGTGCCAGGATGGCTGAGGCTGGGAGTTATAGTGATGGTAGTATTGAGTTGAGTAGGTAGTTGCATGGTGCTCTGAGCGAGGCCAATGGTTCTCGGTAGTGGCTGTGTACCCTGCTAAGGCCAATCCGTTGAACCACACCTCTGCAGCAACGTGACAAAGGCATTCATAGGAAATACGGAAAGACATGTCATACATATACATACTAGTATATCGCTGCATTTCGCTTGTCTACATGCAAGGGCGAGCTCTGTTTGAAAATTAAACATTTAAAATATGGTACCGCTGTAAAATTTTCATCAAAGATTGCAAGTTTACTATATGTTATCCGTTGAAAATAAAGTAACTGAGAATAAAGTAAGCACGAGTTTATAAAATGAGACATAAAGTCAAAACAATAAAGGAAATCTAAGTAAGTCGAACTCGTTCTTTTTGGGTAAATACCGGCTATATGAAGGAGCGATAATTCGATTTGAAGTATTCTCTACATTTTAGGCGCATTACAATGCCATGAGAAAGCACAATTTAGATTATATCCGTTTAAGGGCAGAAATGAGCATAGTCAGAGCATATGTATGCTTAGGGTGTCTGAGTTTATATTGGTTAAGCTTATTTTTTTAGATAAGCGAACTTTTATCTCACCTTCTTAAGCACATTTTCTCAAATCATACGCGAATATATCATGGAAAAGTTGACATTTCCGTCTCGGACAGATCTATCCGGAATTTTATGATTTGCGGTTTTTCCTGGGACCACCCAGACCCAAGCGAATTGCTGCCGTTTAGAGTAATTGAGGAGGCTGGGATTTCGGAGGTTTAGGTTAAGGCAAGCTGCGAACACTGAGTAGGTAGAAAGCGAAATAGGGTACGCCAATCTCATCTGCACGAACGGACTCTGACCTGGTGCTAGGCGTGACAAGAAAATTCCTGCAGATGATGCCTTCTTTCGGGGAAGTTCAAAGTCGTCACACTTTTTATTTTTTCAAACGTGTATGATGGCGGCAAGCTCAGATTAGTATGTTTGCTCAATGAATCAGCAATAATAGCGAGGACCAGAAATAAATTGGTAGGATTGATGTTTTTATACAACTAGTAAGCTTAGGCAACGTTATTTTATTTGTTTTTTATATTCGTAAATATATGCAAATATATATCAGCTCAATTCTGTGCAGAAACGTACGTCTCGCACAAGCTTCCCATCATAGCAGTATGTACTTCAACAAGCCTTTGAACCATTTGCACAAGTTATAGTCAGTGTTAGAATCATAAGCAATCGTGAATTGATGATATCAGTAACGGAGTTAATGAAGTTTCCAAATATCTTCTTGACGTCTAGGAACACTAAATCATCTTATTAATCGTTGTTGTATTGAGCAGAAAAGCGAGAAGAAGCTGTTCTACTGTATCTGTTCGTTTTTGGCAGCCAAAAAA